CACCTCGCGCCTCTCCCCCTTGCTCCTCTCGCGCTCCATCTCCACGTGGGCGTCCCTCACCACAGTCTCAAGGGTACGCAACGTCAGGACATCATGGGCAAGCAGAATTCCTTTTTGCACGGCATACAACGAAGAGGGAAGGCCACGAGCAATGTCTTTGTTGGCATCTGTTTCATCCTTAATCGTGCCTACAGATGCGAGACGCAGGCGAAGGGCCTCTGAGCGGGCAATGTAATCCTGTGGACTCTCGGACTCCTTCATCTCCAACTCCTTCCAGTCCTGCTCCAACCTCGACTTTTCTGACTGCTTTTTCTCCTGATAGAACTCGGTCACTATTTTCCAGCCCTTTTGGGGACTCTCACACGCCAGAATCAAGCTCTGAATCGGGGGATACATAACCTTGCTTATGAGGATATTCCACAGTTTGAAAGACTTGTCTACCACTTCATTTCCAAAAAATCTCCGAAGGTCTCCTACATTCACACCCCTCTTCCCGACCTTGACCTCGACCTCCAGTTCCAACGCATCATGCACACCCTCCTCCTGAAAATATGAAATCATCTTACCACGAAAAATATCAAACATAATGTACAAGTCCTGCTCCTTCTTTACACTACCAAGCCAAGGTTCGATTTCTGAGCCTGGATTGACACGTAACGTGCCTGAGCGGGCAAAGCCCTGTTGTTGAGCGATGGCCTCAGCTGTCGCCTTGGCCGCTGCGCCACGATGTGTGCGACGCTGCTGGGGTCGTTGAATGTGGCTGGCGTACCCTGGTTGGAGGGTGATGGTTGGTTGCCAGTAGGTGGGACTGGGTTGCCGGTTGGAGTGGCTGGGTTGCCGGCTGGTGGTTGGGCAATGGTGACTTCACCCTCGTTGATCCTGTTGGCTTCGAGTTCGGCTTGCACTCGTTGCTGGACGATCTCCTCCACTTTTTGTTGTAGCTCTTCCCCGCTGAGGGCGGAGAGGTCGATGTCCTCCATGATGTTTGGTGTTGTGGGAGTCTACCGATTGCGCGTGACTGCACAACCCCCGGATGGCTACGCCCGCGCGCAGATACCGTGATATCGCACTAGTGTGAAAGGTAAACTACGCGGGGTGCAGCAAGCACGTTCTGGACGTTACTTGGGGCACTGGGTAGTCGGCCGTGTTCGGCCGAGAGAGAGAGATTGAGAGAGAGTTGGAGAGAGAGTGGGAGAAGGAAACTTGATTGGAGAGAGACGGTGGTGGTGGTGGAGAGAGAGAGGAAGAAGTGAGCGCAGCACGCACGCAAGATTCATCGCACCAACCACGCCAAAAGGGTCCCCGTGACTGCACCGATGGTACCCTGCAACACACGAAATTCCCAACACGTATCCCCCTGGGATCCTCACCACCAGATACTGCTGCGAGTATATCTAACACGCGATATTGCTCAAGAGAGACGAGCGTGCGTCCGGTCGTGGACAGACTAACCTGCAAGGACTTTTCTGTGTACAGAGAAGTCTCTACTGCTCACGATTCACAGTTAATTTTACTTGGTGGTCTACATAGTGCATTGATGTAGTCGACACGTTGATTGTCTCCAGGGTACAGACTACGGTACACGCTGTGTTTGCACATGTACTGCATTAGGATTCCGCGGAGGCGCGTGCCGTGCGGAACGTGTGGTACGGGGACGTCTCCCTCCGTTGGCCACAGCAAATTATAATCAAGGCATTTCGAAAGAAACACAATGAACCCCTATACCTATTCAGTGCGGGGGGAGCACAAGACTAGTGACGGTCCAACTTACCACGAAGAGACTTGTGCTACAGTATATATTCGCCGACTTGTGCTACAGTATCTACATGGACTATTTTAGACTTACGGCAGCGGGTTGAAAGTGGTTGTGATAAATCAACGCGACGAGTATCGACGACGTTGCCTGTCTGAAGCTGTTTGTTAGCGGGTTTAATTAGCTGCTGGCTGAGTGCACTGCGTTGTTGACAGATCACGACCCGACGGTGAATAGAGACATCGAATGAAAGAACAGATGCTCGTGGAACCAGATGAATAAGTTGGTCACGGTGCAACACTATTATATTCCCATTGCCAATCAACCGCGAACTCTTATCTGTTGAAGAGAAAGGGTGTGGTCCTGGAGAAACTTGCCGTTCACCGTTCGCTGTTTTGGTGACATTGTAAACAGTCGTCCCGGTCGCAGCTCAGCCACACACAGGCCAAGTACGAATGGAAGTATATCTCTTATATATTGTATACACTTGCTGTGAGCGAAAAGGTAAATACCCTATTAGACAAGACAAAAAAACTACCCAACAAAGAGGACCAACTCCTGTGTTAATGTTGATGCCGTTTGGGTGGTGATTCGCATTTCGTATTTCACAATTTGTTTCACATAGACGTTCATAACGAATGAATTCACTCACCATCATCTGAGCCTCTAGATGAGATTCGACGTTTTAAAAAGGCCGTTCAACAAGATGACGATAAATGAGTGACAGAGACAGGAAGGCCGCAACCGGTGAAGAGAAACAGCGTGTATGGTCGTATGCAGCATGGCGCATCGGCGCACCGAATGCGCTTTCGTGATAACATGACACGTTGACTCTATGGTAGGTCGCGTCGGGAACTCACTCGGCCCACACACATTTTCAATACTAAACCACGTATATTATTAATAATAAACCACCTCCGAAATGAACATGAAGCCGTGGTTGCTGCCACATCGACCGCGAGACTCGAGAAAAAAGAGCGATCATGACAGGGGAAGATAGAAGGCGAACCGTTCAAGAGGGCCGCATGAAGCGCACATGGTGGAACAACTCTGGCACAACATGCAACTAGCTTACTCGTCGACTCACCGTATGCGCTTTCGTCGTGTCGGGTCCTTGGCACAATGGCGCGTTGGAAACTCACTCGACCCACACACACTTTCATATACCTGAACATTTTGCCGTTGCTGTGCTGCCAAGCGGGCTTTGAGATTCGATAATAGCCGTCGGCAATGTTCGAGAAGCAATAATGAGCGATGAAGACAGGAAGATAGAAGGCGAGGGTTCACGAGGGCCGAAGCAGCGCGCATGGTCGCACACGTCTGGAGCAACATCTCGCCAGACGTGCACCATATGTCGAGATCAGCCTTCGAGACACGGCCGGGCAAAGAAAGGTGGGGGAATCGGAAGAAGAGGGCCAAAAAAAGAATTTGGTCGGAGCCATTGAAGCTAACAGCTTCTGAATATATACACGAGGAAAAGTGAGATTCATTTGTCCGAAATTCAAGGAGGTAGGGGAGGGGCGGACAGCCTCACCGACCAACTTGAATATAGAAGTACATCGTTCGGGGTAAGAGAGGAGATATTCATTATTTTCCGAGTATTGCACATGGTTCCAAAGATCAATAGAAGAGTGACAACAAGACGGCGAACGAAGTGGTAATAATGAGGAAATGCATGGTCGCACGCGTGTTGTGACTGCCGCTGCCCGCGGACGGGGGTGAACTTCGGCAGGGGGGCATAGCTTGCGATGTCTACTCAAGATACGCAAAACGTGCGCCGTACTGTGGTACATAGATCGACATCGGTCTGTTGATTTCTGCCACACAAGCTGACCTTGAGATTGGAATCTTGCACACAGAGCGATGAGGACAGCAAGACGGCGAACTAGTGCAGACGAGAGAGAAACAGCGCGCATGGTCGTACATGGCTGGACACTTGTGACGCACGCTGCTGCATCCGGAAGTAGATCAAACTTGGCTACTGGCCATGATTTAGGATGCTCTATCGAGGCATACTCGAGATGTCACGAGCCGTGCGCCATGGGTCGAGATCGGCTTTTGAGACGCGCTCGCCGGGAAAGGTTGGGGAATCGGAATAAGAGGGTCGGTCGGTCTGCGACAAATGAATTTAGGTCGGAGAGACTGAGGGTTACAGCTTCAGAATGCTTGATTTCGTATTGATTGCAACCACATCAATCCGTGTTGTGGTGCAGATCGAAGAGAAGTCACTGTGTGTGGTGAATGGGGTAGGTCTTCCCGAATAGGTCGCGATCGTGAATAGACGGTTTAGCCGGTTCGGGTGTTGGCTTGTCACGGCGAATAGTTAATAAACTAGCTCGATGTCGAGAACCACGTGACGACATACGTTAGAGACCATTTGTTGTGCACTGAATACCCGCGACAAGGACCAGAGGGGGCATACGGACAACAATTATTTGTACGAAATGCTCTTGTTGGCGCTCGGAAGTACCGCGCCCCAGAAGGGGAAGGTGCTGGAACCGTTGGTGACCATCTCTTTCGTCCGTAAATGAACTACAAATAGTCTTCGCGCATGTATTTGGAAAGTCAGCCCCCGTCACCTTGGCTTGTTTCTTCCGAACCTGGGCAGTCTACTGTACGCACGTGTTTGTAGGAGGGCCAAACCATATTCGTCCGGTGGTGCGTCAAGGTGGAATTTCACTCTTTTGTCGGCCATCCGAACGGTGTCTCTTGTCCTCTCCGACGGGAAATAAATGAAATCGATGAGTATTCGTTTTCATTCCATTCACAAAATTCTCAATACATTAATTACTTCCGGGGATTTTCTGAGGAGGAGTCACGCGAGTGAGGCGATCTCCACCGTCTGACACTGTGTTGTCAGATACCGCCGTAGCAAGCTCGTGCCGGAAAGGCCAACATTTCAGAGTTTAGTTGAAACAGCATTAACTCTACGAAAGAACTCTTACCTGGAATGAACAGATCGCCCGCGACTGTTTCCGTCTACGGCATAGTCTACTACGACACTATTCTACATCGACGAGCGTCATTGTCTTTCGATCTCGACGGTTGTTCCCGAGAAAACACTGGATGAGACGGAACTTGTTGAACCCCTCCCGCGACATGAGGTGATGGTGCTATCCCCACGGCAACCACATCGAAATGGTGTTGAGAGCTGACACGTCCACAGAGTTTGCCGAAAGTACGTGTACCCAGGCCAAGCAAAAACGGACTACAGTAGATGCTCGCACCCGTGGGGGATTGGAGTCTCCCTAACTCGATGTGCTGCTTATAGTCTACAGTTGAGTAGTGCGCGTTGGGAAAGAACTCAACGGAAGGTATTCAGACACCAAGAAGCGCCTGAAAGGTCTCTTCTTCATGCCACATGAACTGCCACTAACGAAGATGCAACACTGTGAAGATAGGTCACGATCGATCGGGACCCGACCAGTCCAGGTCATTGCCACCCTCCATGCAGCCAGATTCAACGATTCTTGTGTTCTAAAAATCATAACGCTTTCATCATGGGCTCAAACGTACCGCTGCAGCACACCCAGAGTCCCGCAATATGACATTCCCACGGCGTTCACAAAAATTTCGATTAAATGCAAAGATTACACAAGACGAAAACACTCATGACACGCATGGACCTCACAAAGACGCCACCCCGATTTGACTCTCCTCTTCCCCCGTTTGATACTGCCACATCTACTTGATGTACACAACGACACATGGAAACTTGAAGGGGCGAATCATGCAGCTTGCCGCACAAAGCCGTTCAGTCTCAAAAGCCGGCACCTGCCATGGGAAACCAGGCTCGGCCACAGAACGTGCACGACTTGCCGCAATGACGCCCTCACAATCCGTCTCTCTATTAATACCCGCGAGTTCGAGATGCCATACCGCCGACTTCTTTTCAACAGGAACGCTCTACAACAACACGCTTGGTGCCTCAAGGTTGTGGTTAGCACCTGCTAGCATCACTGATAAGACAATCAGTGTTGGGGCTTAAACAGACCCTAAATAAGCCCAATATCCAGCCGGTTTCTTCCAACTCACCGCCAAGACTTCAACACATCCCCTTCGCCTGGGATACTATTCTATTTGAATGAATATTTTCTCAAAATCAATACTACAAGCACGTCACGGCTGCTGTGCTAAACGAACGTCAGCAGCTATAGCTGAAATAGAGGCCGGCGGGGAGACGAACACGGTGCGTCGGGAGCCGCCGAACTCGTCCGGCTAAAAATATGGCGAAGCATCGTCCAGGAGAGGAGCAACAGCGGAACAACGCGGTGGGTGGGTCACGTTCAGCACCGACATCTTGTGCTACAGTAGTGTATTTTTGCCGACGTTCGAAAGGGCAATCCACCTCCAGTATCTACATGGACTGTTTTAGACGAAGCTTGTCCGTGCCTGGCTCAACACCCTCGCAAGGTGCCCTCTCTGTTTGCCCGTCTCTACCGCTTTTGCAAATAAACGATGATCGCGGCTTCCACGACGACCAGCAGTGGGAGGGCGGCGGCTGCGGGAACAAGAAGATCAGGGGGAAACAGACACGTTCCGGTACACACGCGAAGAAGCGCACATTTGTACTGAACCAGAGAGGTACAGCTCTGTACGATAATCCTCGCCACGCCATGGTCGTCACCGCAAGCCCCCCCGGCCTATTGTCACTACGTTCTCACTTAGTGGTCGTCGCTGCTGCTGTCGTCGTCGGAGTCGCCCGAGACGTCGTCACAGACGTTGCCGGTGGGCCCGTCGTAACGGTCGGCGTTCATCACCGCGGTCCAGGCCGAAGCGAACTCCTTGAGGAACTGGTCGTTGTCCTCGGCGTACATGACCGTCTGGGCCTTGAACTCCGGGTCCCAGACAAGGGCCAGGTCGGTCGCCAGCACGTAGACGCCGGACGTGCCGACGGCCTGGTACTCCTGTCCGTCGGACCCGGGTACCTCCTCCCAGGTCTCGGTGAGGAGGGTCACGTAGAAGGCGTTGGAGAGGGCCGGGGGATCGTCGCTCGTGTAGGACCCGCTGAAGCCGAGGGTGATCATGTGCGAGGCGCTGCGGGGGCGGCCGGCGAGGGCCACCATCTGTGCAACCGACAGGCCCCTGATCCTCATGCGGTCGCGCACGCCCACGATCACGTCGTCGTACTCGCGGGGCTCGAGGACCGAGATGAGGTCGTCGCCCTCGGTGACGTCCACGCGGCCCGCGCAGAACGACAGGTCGATTTCGAGAGCGAGGTTTCCCGCGAGCACGATCAGATCGGCGTAGGACACGTCTGGGTAGTCGTCTTGCACCGGCGAGAGCAGGCTCAGAACCTATCCACAGCGATTGACGGGCGCGACAGGGACAGCGACGGGCACCGTGAGGAGGAGCGAAGTTGGGGATATATGCATACTGCGATCGGCTTCGTGTTGTGCCAAGCTTGCCTATCGCGCATGGCATAGGTAGTGATATTGGCTCAGCGGGACCGTGTTTGCTAGACAAAGCGACGTCAGGAGGTGATGAAGCCGATAGTCATATTACTGATGCTGTAGATACACCAAAGAAGTAAGGGAGACAACACAGATTATCCACACCGATACGCCCCGTGGCAGAACCAACAATCGCAGTCGAAACGTCTTCGTACAGAAGGTCTTTCCAACGCCAGCAAAAACAAACAACCATGTGCCATCGACTCTTACACCTCTCACCTGGTCGAGACCCTGGTTTCCGGCCCAGTCCTTCTCGGGAGAGAATCGGATCCTCGCCCCATTGCAGCCGCCCAAGAAGTCGGTCGAGCGGTGGGTGGACGCGCACTGCCAGGCCAGGGTGACGAATAGGGCGGGGTAGGACGGGTCGCTGGACAGGATGCTCTGGATCGCCGACTTGGCCCCGTCGGTGTCGGGGAGGTCGGTGGGCGCCTCCGGGAGCGGCAGCTGGAAGTCCTGAGGCGGCGCCACGTCGGTGCCCACGCAGCGCTGGAACTGGCCCATGTCGCGAGAGGTGAGCTTGTACCAAGCCGCGGCGAAGGCGGTGTCAAGGTAGGCCTGGTCGCTGGCGAAGAGTTCGCAAAGGGCGAGGTATTCCGGGTCCTGCGCGGGCAGTGGGCGACAGCATGGCACGGATGGAGACCTGCGTTAATTTTTCGACTCAACCTTTGACTTGTCTGTCGTACGTTGTGGACTACAGTGTGTGGATTCTTTCGACTGATACTGCTATTTTCCTGACGGGCGATGTTGAATACATGAACAGTGTATAGTCACACGTCCGGAGTCGAAGCTTCTGAACAAGAGATGGCTGCGAGATAGTTCGTGGAGCACATGCTGTAGTATCGCGCAAACAAAGCTCTGAACGCAATCGAGGGAATCTACAAAGTCCTTACGTCTCAACGGCGGAGCTCACGTTCTATCTCGGTAAGCCGTTCGACATTCTACGTAGGCCGTTCGGCAGTGTGTTGAGCGTTCAGTCTTTACGCAGGCGATAAAAAAAAAACACCCGACGCTTTCGCTCTCACAAACAACAAGGCGACGTCGCTGGTGAGCATAATGATGTCGGGGATCTCGTCCTCCGTCTCGGTGGCCCCCTCCTTCAGGACCGGGAACCACTGCACGAGGTCGGCGGGGCTTTCCGTCATCACCCAGTCGTACTCGAGGAGGTCCTTGAAGTACTGGTTGTCCCACACCAGGGGCTCCACCGTCCACTGGCCCTCGAACCCGCTCGTGAAGGTGTTCTCGGCGCGGCCGAAGGTCGCGGAGTCGACGTCGCCGCATGTTCCCGGCCAGGGGGCTTCGGGGGCGTCGATCGGGTCGGCGCCGGGCCCGGTGTCACACGCGCCGTGGAACTTTCCTGTCAGGAGCCGAGGGGGAGATCGTACACAAAACGTATGGGGGGACGAAATTGTCAGCGATGCGAGTGCAGATACAGCGAAGCATCGTGAAAGAGGAAGAGGAGTTCCGAAGCCAGTGAGAGACACGGTGATTGCTTTGGGCTGCGGAGATCCCATCTCTTGGGTAGGTTGGGGAGGGGCGCGGAATATCGGGGTTTTGGGAGTTTGGGAACGATGGACTCTGTATCAATGATGACGGAACGTTCGGGAAGGGGACCTACAGCGAAACAGACGCGCAACGCAGGCACGAGTCGACCGCCCGGACGCTTCTTTGAGCAGTCACCCGTGTACCCGCATACGTGTCTAGCTGCCGAGGCGCTTCTACAGACAAGAAGGTTGACGCCTGCCGGATCGACGCGTACTGAACAAACCACAGTTAGTATATGGTACGTTGCCGCCTCTGACACGGTCAACCTACACAAACTAACTCACCGAAGGCGTGCCCTCCTCCGATGAGAGCCACTGTCTCGCTGTCGTTCATGCCCATCCGCCCGAAGACATCCCGGATGCTTTCAGCGCTGCCCGCGGGGTCGGGAACGCCGGAGGGCCCCTCGGGGTTCACTGGGGTACATACATACAGTTGCAGTAAAGGGGTTCAACAGGGGAGGTACATAAGAGTGACATGCGCCAGAAACGTGATGTTGTTTGTCGACATGAACAAAAACGTTATGGTCTCCGCTCAGCAGCTTCCACTATCCGTACTATAACAGCTCAACTGAAGCGGACGTCATCCGAGGATGTACGTGGTTTTACGACGGTCATAAGGAATGGTCTACTCGTCAATAGTACTGAACAATACCCGAGCTAAGGCTATCTAGCTTGGCTGGCGCACGGAGATATTATCGTGAGCCCTTGGGAGTATCGCGAGGTAGGGGCCTCGCATTTTTAACGCTGTCGAAATAATGAAATCGTGTGTCATGGTACACGTCGGTGAAGGGGGGGGCAAGCTCCAACACTTGCTCTAGATTGTTGGGGTATGTGTCTTCAAAAGCCAACCCAACCTTATGGTGTGTTGGGGCTTTGCGGCTTCAAACATCTAGTCTAACCAACTATTCCCACAAGAAACGAAGTACAGCAGTAGACTACTCACCGTAGATCAAGCCCACCGTGCTGGTGCCGAGAGGGGCTTCGCAAGTCCCGTTGACGGCGCAAGGAGCGACGGCCTCCTGCTCGTCAGAGGGGCCCAGCGCGAGGCTGTCGACGCCATTCGCATCGTCAAGCCTTCCGGCGCAGAACCCCAACACGGGTCCGCCCATCGTCCGGATCGCCTCGTTACCCGTCAGGGTGATGAGGTCTCCCCACGAGACGGCGTCGCCGTACTTGAGCTTGATGGGCTGCAGGAGTGTCAGCGCCTTGTCTAGGTTGGTGTTGTCCGCCCAGCTGCGTTCCGGGTTGAAGCGGATCCGGCCACCGTCGCAGCCGCCGCGGCCGTCCGACTGGCGGTAGTTGCCGTTGCAGTGCCAGGCGAGGCGGATCATCAGGGGAGCATAGTTGCCGAAGTCGGCCGGCCAGAAGTCCATGGAGTTGGTGAACATGGCCGTGATGTCCTCTTGAAGAGCTTCGTAGGTCTCGCGGGAGAAGTCCGCACCTCCATAGTAGCTGCTATCATCGTCGTAGGACCCCAGAGCACGGTCCACGCCGGGGTTCAGGTCGGCTTGCGAGCCCTGTGAAGCGTGGGTACGAGAGAGCAGGGAGGAGAGGCGGTTGGAGGGAGGTGCACATAGAACATTGTCCAGAATATTTCACCGGGAATCCTGGTGAAGGGTACGGTATGATCAACCCCGTTGATCGAAGAGAGCGTGCACATTCAATAGGCGTGTCAAGGCTGAATCTCATCGCTCTCGTCTGTCTGAGCGTCAAAGCTGAAACCTATGACCTCACCAAAGCAGTCAGCGACACAAGCGCATGCAAAGTTTGTTGTTATATTGCGTGTTTGTCGGGGAATAGCGACCCCGGTTCCAGGCCAAAGCTTTATTCTTGGCACCTTTCGCTGACTGGGGGCATCTCGAGGAAGAACAACGGCGTAGGGTGTGCGACGATTCGACGCTCGAGGCATTTTGACCGATCCGAAACAAGAACGGGAAAAACACTTGCGCCCCACCACTACAGCGTGACAGAGCGCACACGACAAGGGCAGCTGCACGAAGACGGGAGCTTGGTCAAAGGGTTCAACGGTTAAGGGTTAAGACCAACCCCTGGAAGGTCTACCACACAGAGGTGACAAGAATACTGCAGGCATGAACGAATGGCAAGAAAAACACTTTCCCCCAGCAAGTAAGTAACCTGGGTTGAAAAGCAGCAGCAGCAACGTCGAAACGACACGCGACACGCTACAGCAGTTCCCGATAATTTTCGCATCCGACCCCAATTTGTTAAGTTTCGCACCGCCCACAGCTTGAGTAAAGGAAAAGCACACAAAAAACAAAACGTAGTCTGTATGTACATCGGGGGCATGCGTCCGTCCGCACTTACAAGCATGATTACATCTTACCTTTTCGCCAGAGAGGAACGGGCAGCCGGCGGATGCAGGCGAAGCGATGAACGCCAACGTGGCCAGGACCCCGAGCCTACACTTGTGACCCATGATGGCCAGCTGACGGTGACAAGAGTTTGTGCTGTTTAGTGACGACGGCCGGCGCGACAACACGAAAACAAGGTCAAGACTTTTCGGAACACTTCACGGTGACCGCGCGAGAGAGAAGCTGACACTATGTGGTTGAAGCAGTTCCATGCTAAAAAGGTTTACGATAGGTTGAAAACTGGAAAGGGACCTAAGCGGAGACGTATTGAGAGCGATGGCAAGCACCGCAAGAGGAAGTCCGACAGAGAAAAAACAGTCATGTTTGTGATTGTCTTTCCTCCTGTGTGACCCCCGCTGATTCCTCCAGAAAAGGTGACAAAATGTGTTAAAACTGATGATCGTAATAAGCCAGGCGCCCCCCACACACATACATCGATCGAGGAGGCAGAGATAGCGTGGAAGGAAGCAAGAGATTTGAGCCAGCCACATGAGAGAATTTTCCTGTGTCTACGAGATCAGCTGTATCTATCCACGGTCGACATCCGTCATTCCCAGCAACAGATTTTTACCCTGAAAACCGCGGCGGCGGCGGTCCCGAAGAGGTGTAGTCTGTAGCCGAGAGGCCTCGGCGCAAGATGTCACAGTCTTGTTTGGATCTTGGGGTTGGATCTACTGCTGTGATGGTTAGTGTCATTACATGATCGGTGAGTACAGGGGCCCGCAGCCCGCAGTCGCAATAGGCCGAATGTTCCAAGGGTTTACTCGGAAACGTTTTTTTTTCGGGCAGGTGTTCGGCGGTATTGCCATTTGGCGGTAATTGAATTCTGTTGGCTGTAATGCGTGTTTCGCCGGTACCGACTTTGGCGGAGGCGGCAACACGAATTTTGGCGGTAATTTTTCGGCGGCATTGCCATACGGCGGTAACTGTTTTGACGGCAGGCGGTCATACGATTTTCGGTGGTAACGACTACGTTGGAGGCGGTAAAACCATTTTTTTTGGGGAAAAGTTTCGGCGGTAATAGTTCTGGCGGTAGGCGGTAACGCGTTTTTGGCGGAGGGGGTAAAACCAAAAAATGGCGGTAACACGGCGGACTACCGGGACCGCCCACACCACGGCGGTAATGTCACCACGGTATGATTGCCGTTATATGGTCACAACTTCAAGCGGCACCAAACACGGCGGAAATTGCGGTCCTGAGTTCCCGCGCCCGAACCATGTACATTCTCCATTGTTTTGTTTGTCGTTTTTCACCAGCGAGCTTCACACATTAGAGTCAACTAGACAAAAAAAATGTGCGCGCCTCCTCGTCTCCCTGCCCACTCAATATGTTCAATGGTCCTCCCGAAAACGAACCAGAACCAAAGAATACAGATGAAAAACATTGCCGCAAAAAACAAGTACGTCCGCACGTGGACCCGAGCTCCTGCATCCACACTGTGGTTATACAGCAGTCGAGACTAGGCATCTACTCACTCAGCCAATCGTTCGACGGTAACGTACCTATATGGCGGTAATTTTTCGGCGGTAATGGGGTAATGTTTCGGCGGTGTTGACGTACGGCGGTATTTGTTTGGGCGTTCGGAGGTAATGCGTTTGTTGGCGGTAACGACCTTGGCGGAGGCGGTAAAACAGAATTTTGGTGGTAATCTTTGGGCGGTACCGCCACACGAAAATTTCCGAGTAAACCCTTGGAATTTTGTAATGTTCATTGTGCGGGTAAGCGACAGCATACGGTGCAATCTGGCCCGAGGTTGCCGCTGTTGTCGTCTTCCCCTCTGTAGTTGCAAAAAAACGGTAACTGGGTGGTCGTGGCCAATCAGCCTGGGGCCTGCGGGCGAATCCCCGCGTCATTTCCTTCTGAACCATTATAAGTCAAGAGTATTCGTTCTCAGTCATTTTTTCCCAAAGGAAATGAATGTGCATACAACATCGGTATTTTGACAGAGAGGGTGTGATGAAATCTTCTGTTCCGTTATACTTCGAAGCAGGCAGCAGTCCCCTCCCTGTTGTACTTCTATCTCTCCTTCGTATTTTCTTCCCCCCCCGCCAGCAAACATAACATCACAGTAGCACAGACAGATACCAACAGCAGTAACATCCATTATCCATTGCCCATCGCCAGCCCCAAAACTGCTGGGCACTGCGCCATCTGGTGGGCGGGTGTAGAGCGCATCTCTCCGAACACGCAGGCGGAGCAGATCTACTGCTGTGAGATAACATATGGTTACAGCAGTTCATGCGTTGTATATTTCCGGATCTTGCGTTGGCGTGGCATGTGGGTCAACGTTGAGTTTCAAAATCTACACAACAGAAGGAGCTAGGGCACATACATGCTATGCGCATGTCTGGATTAGATTTGCAGCAGCAGGGCGTTCCGGGCTCTCCCTGGGTGCAAATCACATTTAAGCAATATTCCTCGGTGCCTGAACGGAGAAACTACAACGTCCCCGCCTCTTAGTCACACCCCCGGCATCTCTTTTCTCTCTCTTTTCATCTCGATATCATGTTATCTATATACTCACAGGATTTATATATATACTCACAGGATGGTCGTCGTGACGTGATACATTTCTTGTTATTAGTATGGGAAAAAATAAAAAAAGATGGCTCGATTTTTGGCATTTCTACAGCAGTATGGACCAGACGCCGACTGTACATGGAAGTCGTACGAGTGTCGACTCAGTGGTGCTGTCAGAGCATCTTCCACGCACTTCTGCCAGTGCTGGTTTGTTGATTGGAGTCTTGTACGTCGAGATACAGCAGTGGGATTCTCGGGTTGTGGAGGCAAAAGTGAACCAGAGCAAAACATTTCATGCATAGCTCGAATACTGCTGTGTTTTTTCAACAGCAGTATGGACTAGACGCCGAACAACGTCCGCGTACTACCGCAACGACCTAACTGGATAGGATACTTCCTGCCACGGCGAACCATAGTACAGTGCGATGCAAAAATCCGTTCGTGTGTCGCGCGGCCGCCACATGTGTCGATAACAGGTACACGTATAGAGCTCTCGCCATGTTGTCGTTACCGCGCAGGAGGACCCCTCGGAGATCTTCCACATGGTGCTACAACGACAGCAGTACTACTGTACATAGATGTCGTAGGAGAGTGGAGTTGTGCTGTCACGGCATCTTCCACGCACTCTCCTACCGGTGCTTGCATCGATTGGAGTCTTGTAGCCCGAAATACAAGAGTGGGTTGGGTTCCCGGGTTGTGGAAGCAAACCTGCCTGCAACAACAGAGGAGGTGGTGTTCTATTTACTAGAGTATCCCTCCCGCTCAACTTTTTTTTTTTGCGACATGTGGTTGCATATTTTGCCACTGCCGAAAAAGGCCGCAGTCCGCCTTCGCATTTTTCATTTTACACCGAACGACGCGGGACGGGTCGACCTTCATCATTGTTGTTGTTGTTGTTGTCTTCCCATTAAAAACCGTTCCGATCTCTCTCTACCCAGTAACTTCGTATGTCCGTACTTGTGGATTACCTGTTGGAAATTGTGGGAATCCCTTCATTCCGAGAGAGCCACAGGTCGGCATCCGGCCTTTTCTTTTTTTGTATGCACTTTTCTTATATGCACTTTTCTTCCTGTGAAGTTTTGACGTTGCGCTTTTGCCATCGTCGCTGAAGTGTTTGTGGCTTCAAACCTTCTCAGCCGGCCTTCAAACTTCTTGTTGATAAGTCTCCGTGGTAACTTCTTCGCGCATGAGTCATATGCAGGTATGACCTGCGCTTTGACTTTCACGATGGGTATTTTACCTCCTTGTCTTGCATTGGTGAGTACCTGCGTTATACGGAAGGATCGTTCCACGACGCAAACAAACGTCGACGTCTCCGTTTTTTTTTTGTTCCCTCCGCACTCCTTCCTTGCCGCGGTTTTCACACTGACTTCGAACGTGGCGTGCAATTTCCTCTCTTCGTACCTGCCTCGTCGGCCTTCTCCATCGTTATGTACATAATGTATACCTCGATTTTTCGGCTTTTCGATTCCGATAGAGACAAGACTACGGACTGACATGTCCCTTTCACCCCCGACGGGACCGCGCGCTCGTCGAGTGCCGAAATTCTTCACCACTTCCTTGCCTCTCCCAACACCGTCCCTTCTTCCCGCCCCAACAAATCTTCTCCCCTTCTTCTTCTTCTTTCCTTCCTCCCGGACACTCACCACCATCCGCCCTGGATGTTGGCCCCCAGTCCCATTGGGGGGCGGGGGGCCAATCCTTAACCCTAGTTTCTCCATATTGTCGATGTCTCCTCATGCCTATTCCTACAGAAAGAGGGGCTACAGGAGAAACGTGCGTCCCGTCTACCATTTACCGTAAAAAAAAAAATGTCATGGACCATCCGGAGGACGGAACGAGGGGACGGGAGGACGGCCGGACCTAAACCGACCGAACTTTTAACCCTTTGGATCTTGCGTTCAAGCAGGTTCAAGCAGAGATTCAAGTGAATCTAACCAGATTAACTGATGGGACGTCGAGCGTGGGGAAACTTGCCGGATAGGCGGGAACATGCCAACAGGAGTAGGAGTTGCATCGTAGCTCTCATCTGTAGCTTTGCAAAGAGGCAATGTGGATTCCCATAGAAAGAATCATACAGCGAGAGCACAGGATGCATCTTGGAGGATCCCAAGACATCGTGAAATCTACTGGTGGTGGTGCGATGATGCTGTTGCAGCAACACTCGTGAAGAAGAGCTAGGCTCGCTGCTATCACCTGTTGTGCATGCTTGGAGTGCATCGAAGTACCACCAAGAAAACTTCTCCCGGTCTTTCCAAGAGGCTCGAAAACGATGTTTGAGCCCTCTGCCCTTGTTGGAGGCCTCAGCAGTCTACAGCAGTCTAGACTACAGCAGTAGTCTTGCATGCGAAGGAGATCACAAACCACATGTAGGTGCACTGCTGCAAAGATCTCACCCGTATCCGTGGCGTGGATGGACTGGCTGCTCAGATTAGGTCAGGCGCGGCCCTGGAAAGTGTGTGTGTGCTCGTTGTGTGGGTTGTGTGTGCGGCGCGCGGGGTGTGAGAGGGTCTTGCGAGCGAGGCGGCTAGGCGGGGCGGCGGGGCTGTGATACGGGGCTAAAGATTAAATATTGTTTGTCCGCGGGAGGTTATCGATCCGAACACCGAGCAAAAACATGTTGACGAAAAAACATTTGTGTGGTACATAACTAATGTATGCACAACATCAAAGATCAACTATTTAATGGCCCGGTGTAATGCATTAGGCGCACCTGTTCGACCGAGACGATGTTCACCCATCATCTAGCTAGGCAGACTGGCGCTCCTGATATAATTGCCCGCTCGAAGAGAAGTATTGAAATCCTTCCGTTTCGGTTGAGCAGAAGGGTGTTGACGGATATCGGCGGAAATTCTGACGAGATATTCATACGTGCGCGCGCACATATGCAGACTATCTGTGGAAGGCTTCCTCCTACCCCATGCGAAGGGACGAACACTGATGATGCATGTCTGGGGACGGATATATGCGGCACGCGGATAAATACCCTGGAACACGCAGAAACGCGGGTGCTGCTACTCTCCAATATGGCCCCCTGCTGCTGTCGACCCACCAACGTAGTACGAGAGCTGGCCATCGCATGATGGAAGCAGTCCGTTTTTTTTTTTTTCGCGAAACTTTTCAGATCATGTGGGAACCGCTGTCAACCTGTCACCTGTCAACTGGCTTCATCAACTCATCAACTACAGCAGCTGTCTGAGGTGCGCTTTGATGCGGCGGTTACAGCGCCATTGCAGACCTACCAGCTCAGTCGATAGGTACTATACATCCATCTTTGTCTATCCTCATCAGCGAACGGCAAAGAGAAAAGGATCAATACTCTGTCTGTCCTCAGCAGCGAACAGCAAAGAGATGGAAAAAAACAAGCTGCGGAGGTCCCTAGACTACAGCAGTGCAGCTGGCTGCTGCTTGAGGAAAACGGCGAACAGGTAACACGTGCGGGTAGCCTTGTAGAATATCGCCCACCCCAACACCACTTGAAGAACTCGAGTGAGAACGTGAGAATGGATCTCCCTCCATTGTGTAGATGTCGATAAGGCACGTTGGCAGTAAGCAGGTCACACAAACCAGCTGACCCGCACAGAGCACAGCAGGCAGAGCACCACAACGATCAGCAGATCAGCAGGTTCTCGTGCCGGTTCATCGAAACCAGTTCTCGTCAGAGGGAGATCTCTGTTGACGGAATGACGGAATGTTAGAATTGATCCCATGCCATGTAGCCGGCCCGCATGCATGCATATTTTCTCTTCCCCCCTCTTTCTCCTCCAGGGCGTTTCCACGAAGTAGCAGCCCTCGGGTCCGATCGACTCACGCACGAACAGCGTTACAACCAAGTCCGAGGGCTGCAAAGCACACCTGGAGCTTGGAGGCTTGGAGGAGGGGGTCATGAACGAGAACAACACAGGCCCATTCGGTGAGAACGAAGAGGTTATTTGCTGAATCCGGTGCCTGCCGATGCCTCCAGGGCACCGAATCGCGCCCGCTCTTACGCCCCCCCCCCCCTCCCCCAGCATAGAGGACAACCTGCAGACGGTATCCCACTCAGTACATATTTACATCCCGACGCAATTTGCCACAATGCCTGTCTCTAGTTGTTGGGCGTCGCTTTGGCACTTTGGTTTGGAGCAGGTTGCTTCAACATGCCCATGAAGCAACCGTGCACGAAGGAGACACAAAATGTACTCCTGAACAGCTCTTCAACCCCATAATAGACCGACACCGACTTCCTGCGTGAGCAGCAAGAGTGGAGATCGGTGCACATGCCGGATATCAACAGATTTCCCCTCCCTCCGTCAGGGTACAATGTTCCGCCGTTCCGCTTTTAGGCGACACACAACAGTTGGAGCTGTTTCGATGGCGAAAGCGAGCCTGTTTCACCCACGGGGGAGATAGCGCTGTGTGCTACTCGGGGAACCGTAGGAATACGAGTTGGCCATTGTGCAACACTAGGAATTCATTGCCAATCTTCACGGTCCTATATTATCTGCTGTGGAGGAGACGAAGTGTTTGCAAAAAAATAATAACGAACAGGTCGAGAATCCAGCAGGGACTTGCGACGGAAGTCCTGCTGTAAAGTGCAGGCGTTAAAGGGAACCCAGAGCAGCCCGTGCCTGGTACGCACAGAAAGAGCGGCTTACCCGAACTCTCTACATGTTCGGATAGTTGTTCGTTGTCATCAAAAATAGCTCCGTATTGGCTTGACAGCAGTGAGGCGCCAAAACCTCGCCTCGAGTCTCGCTAATATATGCCCCAAAACCTCGTGCACGTAAACTACGAATTGATAATCAGCCCTTGTTTTTGTCGCTAGCACCCAAGTGCACATCCGACAACCTCCCCTAGTTGTTGATCATCTAACTTGCTTGCCCACCCAATAAGCCACCCTGCTTGCCCAATAGTTTTGACTAGAGTGTATTTTTCTCTGCTCCCGTGCCACCTAAACCGTACAGAGCACCCGAAACCCGTACGAAGCGCGACGGGGTAAACTTTTACTTTTCCCCAAAATATCGTTTCCTTTCCTTTCACCCGGTGCGTATTTGTGAAACACAGGAGCCCATGCCTCTACGAACGGCGTCAGCGGGGGTGGACCGACACCCCCACCATCCGTTGCGCAAGCCTTCTTGACGGGGCTACGCAGCCGTATGGCGGAGTGCAGCCACGACTTGCAGCAGATGCTGCAGGACGCTACTCAGAATGGACTGATCTCAACAGAGGACCCGTCCATGCAGCACTTCATTGACGCGGTGGAACACCTGAACGCGGCGCAGCACATGGCCACGAGCTTAGCCACACCTTTGGCTATTGCCGAACAACACGTCCAAACGTTCAAGGCGGCGCTGCAGATTGCCCAACAGGACGCCATGGACGGCGCGGCTCAGCCCGGTAAGTACCGTGTGTTTTTATGAAAAGTCATGGTAGAGACAATGCCTAACATACGCTACATTTTAGTCGCGAACCAGAGAATGGCTTATGTTGTATGCTTGTATATGAGAAGGTTGCTTGTGGGGGTAGCAGTAGGGTGTGTTTGGCGATCTCAATCGACGTTTTGCCTCTGGTAACATGTTGGGTTTGCATGCTCTGTAAAAACAGCAAGGAAACTCAAGCGTTTTACTCCTACTCAAACCCCAGTTTGGTGCTTTGTCATGCATATGTGCATGCGATACCAGCGATCAACCGTTCACAGGACACTCCGGCCCAGCAGCTGATTGTTCTCCTTAAAAAAAACAAGAACGACGCCCTGCAGGCCGAAGCGGAAATTATCCTCGCCCGCTTCTGGAACCAAGGTATCGCACACCACTACCGCAAGAGGGCCGAGCTGTTGGAGAGCGCCTACTTCGGAAACGGCGACGAACGCGCTGTTGTCGTCCTGCTGCGGCACGACAAGGAGATGGCGGAAAGCGCGTTCGCCGATGCGAGCACCGTGGACTCTTCAACCCAGCTTTCCGGGGCCGCCTATGTCCACCGCGACGCCATGATAAGGTGTGCACATACACAACCGTTTCTGTCTTTAATCCGGAGAATTGGTTCCGTTTTTTGTAACGCCAGACCGCTGACTCATCGCTGGACATTGCGTTTGATTATCTTGGGATAGTCGGAACCTGTGTAGGCACGTCTAGGTGCCACCGAGCAACATGCACGGCCACAGCGGTAAGCTGTGCGCCTTGCACTACCGCTATTGCTCTCCGTTTGCCATTATTGGTGGCTATGTACGTAGTCTAGCAGTGATGCTCCTTTCGTAGAGGGCATTGACGTTCGCGCACTGAGTTAGTTGTGGCCGTTTTTTCTTGCCTACCCACCGGGACCGCCTGCCAGGATCTACAATCTCCTTACCAGCATCGGGGAAATTCCGGGCCTGAACATTTAAATAGGCACCGATCTCATCAACCAAGAAGAGCAACCGGTCCATTGCGGGCTGCTTGTTTCGACCGGATCGTCTCGCCAGAAACGAACCGATACGAGGCATTTTGAGGTGTTATGTCAAACTCTTCGGTTGTAATTGCCCTTCCTGAACCGCTACGTAGCGTATCGCTTCATGAAGGACACTGACACCCAGATGGTTTTGATCATTCTCTCTGTGTTGCCAGTAAAGGTTTCTGAGCACAGATGCACGAGATCAAGGATCGTTCTTTGGTCTCTACCTCGATTTAGGGGAGTAATTGTTTGGGGGGGGGGGGGGGGGGGGGGGGGGGGACCCCCCCCCAAAGGGGGACCCGGCCGGCCCGGAACCTTTTTTTTTTAAAGAAAAAAAATTGGTGTTTTTCCCCGGCCCCCCCCGGGGTTGGGGGGCGCCGAAAAAAAAACCCCCGGCTTCCCCCCCGGGGAAAAAAAAATTGGAGGGGGGGGTGTCGGGTTTGGGGAAAAAAAAAACCCCGGGGGGGATATACTTGTGGGTTTTTTAGGGGGCCCCCTTGTTTTTCTGAGGGGGAAAATTTTCCCCTAT